CAGGGATTTGCACGATTGCCTTAATATTAAAGAGAGTATCGAAGCTATCTTGGGCTCTAAATTACTTCATCTAACTAAACTGTAAGCTGATCACCCTCATTTTTATATTATTTCAAAGTTTAAAAATTCAAATTAGAACTGGTTGATTGATAGAAATATGGCTCATACTGGACTATCCAAAATAAGTGAATATCAGTTTGAAAATTTCAGTTCCCTCATCGAACTGTAAGTAATTCTATATTAGTATTCTTAAAATTGAAAAAAATCGATAATGATTTATTAAATAAAATAAATGTCAGATAAAGCATCTACTTAATTCTTGCTATTATATGGAATAACTATAATGGTTTATTGAATTTATATACAATTACCGATGACACAAACAAAAAGATGTAGATTTGAATCAATTGATATGACATTCTGATTAGTAAATGATATAGTTATTAGTACTTATTATCTTTATGCGATCGAGTAAATTTCTAGTATCATTTTCTTATATAGCAATAATGTTAGTAACAGCATTTATAAAATTTATGGAGTATACTGCTCAAACTATATAGGTAAAGATGATAGTTACATACTTAGAATTAATGCCAACGATAAAGATAGATGTCTATAATTCAAGATGTACAGATTGATTAAAACAAATACAAAAAAATACCGAGCAAGTTATCTAGTACAATAATTCTTTGCTGGTTATCGCAAATAGTTATGAATTTAAAGTTATTAAGAACAGAATTGTAGGTTTAATTCAATTTAATCGATATAATTATTAGTTTATTGATGAAAGACTCATTCAAGGGATATTAAACGATAGCAATGGAACTATTTTGGCTAAGATAAGCTAACTTAAGTTTGTTTATTCCCTGTGCAGGGATATCAGTAACAACAATATTCAAAAACTACCAAATAAACGCTTTTTTGGAGACAATTTGAAAGATCTGTAAGTAGAATCATTATTTCACTTTAAAGTTTGTCGGAAAGGAAAAATTATAAATCAGCTATTACACGGCCTATTCTTCAATGATGAATTCTATCCTAGAAATCTAAACGGAAATAATTTCACATCTATCAACTGTTCTATATTTAATCCAGTTATTAAGTCATGGAAATTCTCAACGTGGATACGTCATTTGTCAGTAACGAAGTTTATTAAGACAGAATTAAAATTATGCTCGAAAAATAGTACTAATGGAGAGGGTATTCTAATTCAATTACAGGCACATTTGGAACACCTCTGTGGCTAACTATTCCGTTAATTGTAGGCATTTATTCACTAAGTTGACCGGACTGTAAGTTTACCATATTTTGTAGAAGAAAAGAGGGTTGATGATTTATTTTAAAATGGAAAATAACTGTGCTATAAATAGACATCTATTATATTATTCACTGTAAGATTATAAATACCCTATCTATTAATGCATCTAGCAGTCTATGCAAATGTAGATGTTATAATAGTGCTCGTGGCAATAGGATATTGCGGCATAACTTCTGTTTTGGCCATACTCTTGCTATAATATTTTAAAGGCTTTAAATCATTTAATATATATTCATTTACAGTTAAATGAGGTTTTGCTTACAGGAGTGTAGGTGGTAAACAAACCTTTCACCAGAATGAACCTTCAAAAATTAGCGAATTTTTAGAAAATTTGAGCTTCATTACATATTTGTAAGTTTAGTGACTATAATTATATAATCTACTCTTGAATGGTAAATTCCATACAGGTTTTTCACGAAATGGAAATACCCTTAAATAATGCAAAGCCATTTTGCGTCGGAATATTCCTTTCTTTTCATTTACAGGAACATAGCTAACAGCAATATTAAATCCCTGCCCTTTCGATTTTTTTACATTAAGAGAAAGGGTGATTTAACTCTGTAAGCAATTACTGGATGACAGTATTCCATGTAATTAGTATGGCTATGTCCAGTAATTGTTTGTTTTAATCATTTTATTTTAGGCATTTGGATGAAAACCCACTAGTCCTTAATAACACAGTTCACTACCCGTATGCTCATATTTCGATTACTTCTCTGTAAGTTTATACGAAATTTTCTTACGATATTGTAGTGTGTTATTCAAATAACAATACTAGTGCGGCGTAGATCAATTCATATCCATATAAATCATACTTCTTTAACCCAACTTTACCTAGAAGCTAGGTGAACATCAGCTTTTTCTGTGTGGTTATTCTAAAACGATTGCTTTTGTATTTGATATAGAGGATTGAAAAGTGCGTTACTTCATATTGATCCTAGCGATCATTGGCGACTCTCTAAGTTGACTTCCTTAGTTAAAGAGGTGTAAGTAAAGCCCAATTTTGTTGAATAAATGCATTGATTTGACTAATATCCTAAACGCACGGTTCGAAATTTGATGGAACTATGTAAGAAGCAATTTTTTGAAAGAGTTACTAATCACCAATAAAAGCAGAATTGAACGTTATACTTGCAGTTGAAACATATATCTTTTATTACACAACAATTTTTTATTATAAAAATATATAATGTAAAATATAAGGTACAAGTGTCTACTAACTGTATACAGTACTCGTAAGATAACCAGTGTGTGGATTTACTGGTTAGTAATCATTTAAATCACTATATATCTTAGATACTGTGCAATTATTCAATCCATTATTTGTATACGTATTGTATATGTATAGTAATATGATAAGAATTGGCTTGCTGATGACATATTGTAAGTAGCTGTAAATCTCGCAAATATGACGCTGATATTAATGTTAAGTAATTACCGCTATATACTATAGCGATTTATCATGTAATAGCTTAAAGATATTGGATATTTCACTAATTGTGGGAGAAGGATCGGCAACTCTCAAATCATTGTAAGTACTGCATGACTTGAAGAAACTTTGACCCTAGAAAGTAAATTTACATTCTAATCATTCCGTGTGCTTTTAATTTTAGGGATGTATCCAAGAATTCTTTAACCGCAATTAGAAACGAACGAAAGGAACACTTTTTACATGCTAAATCCTTGTACGCTATCTAATACATCATTTGACTGCTTCATTTTAGCTATTTTAAACTATTTGAGAATGATTCTCTATCTGCTCAAATTCATTACAGCTGACCATATCTTGTTCTTACTTATTTAGAAATTTAGGTAGTAACTTAATAACAGATATTTGTGAACTTACGATTTTGAAGTATATGCCTCATCTTCAATACTTGTAAGAATCTAAGAAATTCGAGTATATGTCTGGCATATCGAATATATTTTTATACAAGATTAAAACCAGTGTTAATGCTAGCCGCCGACAATCTAAAACTGTAATTCTTTTATTTTTATTATTTTACAGAGATATTTCGAATAATCAAATTACTACGCTTCAACCATTTTGCTTCATTTATACTCCTTCATTATGGTTCATGTGAGTTTAATTAGAATGTATAACATTATAAAGCGTAAATTTTCAGCGTTCATAATTGATACAATTCAATGTGAACGCCATATCTTGTAAGCGTTATCCATCAAGCCAGTATTTAAGATGATTTTATGTTATTACTGAAGATGGAAAATACGAGTATGTAGAAAATTTGTTCTTACTTAGGTTGCAAAATAATATAATCATCACTCCTATCTCTGTACCCAGATTAGCTGCGTATTATTACAAAATTATTATTAAATAATTAAGGAATTATTATTGCCTGGAAATAAGTATCATTCAGGATTTCATTTAAGTAATATTTGGTTATTTATCATTACAACATATTCTTGCCAATAACATGCTTTTAGTTCATATTTGCTCGTATGATATCGGAAGAGTTACATTTAGAAAATGCAACATATAACCGATCACGAGAGAATATTGTACTACCTGTCTAAAATCTTCGCCTACTTTAGCAAATATTTTCATTAGATAGCTAGTCTAGCCGGTAATTGATACCGCTGCATCTGAATAATAGATCATTATCCAAAAGATTGTCCAAATTAAATCGATACTAAGATTGATAAAAGTTTACCTAAGTTTCTAATGGCGTATAATTTTCTATGCCTGTATGTATTGTTATCTTATCAAATTTGTTTGCGCACGTTTCTACTTTTTTAAACTTTGGTTCAATCATCTTAGTCCCATATCAATTCAATTATGATTTTGAATATCAATATCATCATTATCATGATTTAACACTTTCAAAAATGATTATAAATATTATCGGTAACCTGTCCGAATCTATATTAGAAATCTGCAAAATAATCAACTTGAACAAGTTGTAAAAGATTCGTTCTATGGACCAACAAATTTATATAAGCTGTAAGTAATAAATTATCTTTTAAGCTAATGCTAGCATAAAGTATCGTTGGTTGCATCTTTATAGGTTTATACCATTATGTGATTGATTTATATCGTAGTCACGGAGTGATTTTTGAAGTCAATCACTTATTTCATTATCGTTAGAGAACATACTTTGGGTTTGATTTAGAATATCATTGTCTATGACTTCATACCTAATTTTTAATGATTATCTTAGTAGATCTATTTTAAATTGGCGAATTTTTAAAGTTCACCTTCAATTTTGTCCAAAAAGTTTAGTAACTGATTGTGATTTTACAAGGATAGTCGTCAGTAATTAGTCGCACTGTAGTTCGATGTTGAGAGGGATAAACCTAACTGACGGTCGATTCGTAGTCTGTCGTTCATTAATTGCAATTTAACTTTCTCATTACAAATTTCGATTTGTAATATTCTTGTTACAAGGAATCGCTATTGAAAGCTCCATTTCAGCCAAGATATCACCTATTATTTAAAATTGATCTTTTAAATTTTGAATCTTAGCTCCCACAATGATGCTATATTAAATACTATAGTAAATAAATTTTTATTGTTAACGCAAAATAATGTATTTTATACAATTCTTTAACAGTGCATAAGTTCTATTAACTCGTCTTAGTGATTATTGATACTTGAATATTTGTGTCTTGAGTAATGCAGGGCTAACTTCTGCAATCTTTCAGGACTGCCGATCGGGGATATTTCTGCTGTATCGTTCCAGCTAAAATTAAAGAATGCTCAGTGACAGAATTTAATAGTCGTAATAAAATATCTAATTGCCATGATTTACTTGCTAATCCATCTTTGCGTATCTTTACCTGGATTGTTTCCATTTTAGCAGTCATTGGTAATGCTTTGGTTATTCTTTTATATCGCCGCGACAGTAAAGCTGGCCATCCTGTACCCAAATTAGTGGTTAGCCATCTTGCTTTCGCTGATTTCCTTATGGGACTTTATCTTTTAATTATAGCTATTGCTGATATGTTAACTCGCCATGACTATGGCATTTATTCCGTTTACTGGAATAAGCATCCTATGTGTTTATTAGCTAGCTTCCTAATGTCATTATCCAGCTTTATGTCTGTCTTTATGATGTTATTGATTGGTATTGATCGCTACATTTGCATCGTCTATCCATTTTCTAATAAACGTTTAGATATGGCAACCACTAAGAAAACGCTAGGTTTAGCATGGGTCATTAGTATCGGTTATATCGCAGGTCCGATTGTATATAGTATAAATAAACCTTATACTCAAACTGTTTATGGTGATAGTCCAGTTTGTGTGCCTATCAATTTATCTCATAAATTCTTTTACCTGTGGCTATCGAGTTATATATTTTTAACATTCCTCATGTGGATCATTGTGACTATTCTCTATATACGCTTATTCATAAAAGTAAAACAATCTGGCCGATCAATACGTCGAAATCAGAAAACAAATCAAGAGCATCGTATGGCTATTCGACTTTTTTTAATCTGCATCACGGATATTGTATGTTGGCTACCATTTTACTTTGTGTTTTGGCTTTCTGTCATTCAGATTAGACGAGGAGAAGCCCATTCTTACTTAAATAGCGGCTTTAGCGTTATCTTACGATTTACCATCTTACCTTATGTTGTTGTCTTTGCATTACCAATCAACTCCGCTATCAATCCATTCCTCTATACTTTTACTAGTAGTAATTTCACAGATCGATTACCCGGTTGGTGCAAAATGGATAGAAGTAAATGGCCACTCTTTGGATCATTATCCAGTTTAAATCAATCATCTAAATCTAATAGTAGTTTAACAATTTCATCGCCGTCTGAAAGAATTCAAAGTTCTGCTTCAATAGATTCCAAGTCATAGGCTGGCTATGTGAAACTGATTCATTACACAACCTAGCTAAATGCAAGCTTATTATGTTATCTGTCGGCGGTATATTGTGAGGTTGGTTCGTAGCAGCAAATTCTTGTGGAAATGAACGCTAATCTATGGACTGCATACTATAGCTACACAGCTATAGAATATTTAGATCATAGCTGTAGAGAAAAAACAGATAGAAATTAAAATATTTAATAGTTTCATATCTAGTGGTAAGACTAGATCCAACTTATACAAGTCTTCCCTTCAGTCATTTACTAACCTAACAATTTCATCCCGTGTGATATTCCATGTAATAAATGATCTAGTTGATATAATAGCTTTCAAATAGCAATATTCAATAAAATCAAATGCACTCTGTGAAGATATTGTTATAATGATCTCGTAAAGTAATTATCTTACTTCTAAGCTAGTATTAAATTAATATTAAAAGCATATTGTGTATCTACAGTACGAACATTGAAATATAGAACTACTAAGAACTATGTCATATACTAGACAATCGTATAATTCTGCTGGCGTTAATGGATAAGTTTATGGAATACTTGATGATGGCTATTTCATATAATTAAAATGAAATGTCAAGCGGTTAATAAATGGAATAGAATAATAGTCAATTTTGTATTATTTTGCTCATATTTCGTCCAAATAAGGAAGTGTGAACTGATAAAAATTCATATGCTATGTTTTTAGAGGAACATACGTAAATACAATCGAAGATAGTTTATATGTATGGGAATAAGCTATTACATTGTGAACTATAGTATCTTTACTTATGATTAAGCTAGTATGCATGTGTCACAAAACAGCTTTGCAACAAGATAACGTAATATACGATCAATAAGTCAATTTCTTGAACCACGTATCAAGGAACGATATCTGCACTATCACAAACACTTTTGCTCTACTAGCAGACTACACAAAGACTTAAACGCCTCGTATTTTACGTTAAACACTAAGTTTGAGAATCTACTTTATTTCACGATATGCTGCATTTATATACTCTTCCTCAATAGTTCATGAGTCATAGTTAGTACGATTAACCTTGGAATCATTTACTGAATTAGATATTAATTTTAGTTACTGCTCCCTTAATGCAGACAACAGTATTTACGAACATAGACATATAATGACTAATACAGAATAGTCAGATTACGATATGTCCTATCACGGAACATTTCCATGATAATTTACAATCTACCATAAGTAAGTTACATCACAATGATTCGAACTGTAAGTAGATGGTTTGCATTCCCTATTATAACTATTAATTTCAGTATGTGTATAAGTGTCACTGTGATAAAAAGTCAGTGCTATATTAAAATACAGTATATCCAAATTAGAAGTTAACTAAATAAGGATAGGGTAACAGAATTATCCTAACATAGATATTTCTACTCTAATGCAGTACATAACACTGTCACAGCATGAAAGATTTCGTACATCACAGATTTATTCTATTTAAGCTATCTTAGCTTAATAGGTATAGGTAGAAGATGATACTGTAATACAGATATTCATTACAAGAAGATACTCGATAAAATGTAGTAGAATGCATACCTGTCCTGTACCAAGTGGTGGTGATACCTACATAAGGTGATGCTGATAATTGTTTAGAGCTGAAATAGGCTCCAAAGAATATTTATAATAATAATCCATCTGATAATTATATCTGTTACGAACATATCTACTATCATTAAAATTTAGACTTAATCTTACCAAAACATCTACTTTGAAATTTCTCAAAGCAACGGCGATATCTTTAACATTAATTTCAATTTCTTGTGATTTGATAATGTCATATGACTGTCCTACTATTAGATTACTTATTAGCTTCACTACTACTAGAGATCTAACGTGTGATACTAATAGGCTACTTAATTGACACACAAGAATAAGACTGTTATATAAGGCTAGTATAATTATTTATTAGTAGACAGACCTATACCGTTCTATACCATATCTACCAACCGACTCTCGGGCTGAGCATTAGCTCACCTTTTTGTACCCTTCCATAGAATTTGTGGTGCACAGTTAACAATTTTCTCGTACAAGATTTACTTGATTACTATAGGAGATTCAATATCAATAAACTATGTTATTTACTGTAAGTACGTATTGGTAAACAACTTTAATTAGCAATAACTAATTAGGAGACAATTAAAGGCTCAAAGCTTAGCATAGTAATTACACATTCACTGCAGGTACCAAGTAGTCGCCATTATTAATACTCGATATAAGTTCAAGACACAATTAAGTTTTTGTGGTCTAAGATTACTCATTATTAGTATTCGTAAATTAAATTATGAATTTCTAATATTTAGCCTAGTAACGATTTAATAAAAAAGTTTAGTCAATTAATAAGTACGGTACTTTGCTCCGTAACGCTCCCCCACACTAAAATAAGAACCCTAGGGTAAACACCTGCCTCGATTTCATTACCAGATTCTTTTATATATTACAATCTTTACTACCATGATAAAGTCCAAGATTAGGGATGGATATTAATTTCATTTGTAAGTTAATTTCAATTTCTTGGGCATAAACAATTGCCTATTACTTATTCCTATCAGCAAAAGAAATTAAATTATCACAAATTCTTCTACCTAATAATGACCATTGTAAGAGATTTCAGAGAAAATGAAGACTGGAGTTGGGCCTATAAAAAACTGATTCCTTTGCAGCCCAACATTAATGATAGCAATCAACTATAAATTAGAGAAAGGGAAGGAGTTAATTATCCTGATAATGATCAACGCCAGCCAATTATAGCCATGACCTCGATTTTCTTAGTTCATTCTTGCCAACGAAATTCTACTAGTTATCGAAGAGAACAGCTAATGCGACATATCGAAACTTTTCTATGATGAGAATGTGGCTAAAATTGCTTTTCCTTGGCTTTTCTACTTTTTTGATTTCCAAAGCAGAATTTGCGACTCGTAAGTTCTGTTATAAAGCAAAATGTGAATAAAATAAAGATAGCTGGAGCTATTCTTAAATCACTTATATCTAATATTAAGCAAGATATGTACCTTATTTATTATTTTTATTAACGATATTTACCTGCTTTTATAGTAAACAAATGAATATCTTATACAAGACAAGCTAATATTGCTTATCCGACACAATATATGCATCTTTCCATATCGCTACTGATATTTTGATAGCATTAGAAAAAAACTTGGCAATGTAAACTCCTTGATAAAGAGAAATGTTATAAATATCAGAATTTTATTTTCATTGAGGTGTAGTTATGCAAGCGTGCCAAACCTAAAAAAGTGTCTAGTAAAATATATATTAAATGTTTTGATTAATTCTAGAAAATACATCAAGTATAATTAAGGAACGTCATTAATCGCAATCATTCTGCTTCATGAGAAATTATCATATCCATTTTATCAAGTAAATTACTGTAAATTATTAACTGTTACCAATTTTTAAAAGACAAACTTCTTAATAATTATAATCAGATATCGAAAATAGTATTTAATTACGTTAAAAGAACATGATATCACGGCGCTTCTATCTGTGATATGCATAAATTGGAAATACAGATTCAGGTTACTATTAGCCTGATTTCTATTAACTTTTACACATGAGGTTGTATTGGTATGGTCTTAAACTGCCTTGATTTCGAATTCGATTAAACGGAAAAAATTTTTTGTAGTTACCGGTACTTAAGGTTTATTACTACGCAAAGCGGAATCACTTTCTTTGTCAAGAGAAATTAGATCAAGGAGATCTTCTATTTTAATGCAATATAGTTTGATCTTGATTTATAAATTATATTGTATAATAGACAGAGACTGAGATTTATTTCTGTCTTTCTACATTGGGTTCCTAGTATTACATTAAATTAGGGGTTTGATTTTATCGCATGATAATGATCGTTCAGTAATGTGATGATGAACCGATGAATAAAAATTTAGGTTTATTTCTTTATTTAAAAGGTAGCTATGGCAATAGGAATAAATGTCTCAGATATTTCTATAATTATGTTCGTTAATAAGGTCTGATAATTTCTTTGTAAGTAAAATAAGTAATGAGCATCAGTATATTTTTCAACTTCAAAAATGAATGCTTAAAAATGCTTAATATACTTAAACCGAGTAGGTTAAATTGAAAGCAGGATTTGACATAGAATCAACTTTGATAAAAATAACAAAAACGATAAAATAAAAATTGTCATGTACTTCATTCAATGCAAGGCTTTAAAATCTATTAATACTAGCATGTCTTTCCCGAGCTATTTACATTCTTATGTTGCTATAAGAAAAAATTTTAGCTTTACGTTTTATATTTATAGTCAGCTTTGAAATTTTAATGCAAAAAATATAAAATTCAAAGTTGACTCTATGATCCTAATTTAGGCTTATGTTGTGAAATATTGCTAACAGCAACGATGGCAAACGATATTATTATTGATTTAGGCTTGAAAAGTAGATTTTAATGATATCTTTGCTTTCATCTATCGAGCTCTACGCGTATTTTGATCCATTGGGTAACATAGTATCGATACTTCTAAATTATAAATCTTGCCAAATTGATTGAGATACCTAATTCCAACTATCTCAAAGTCTACAGATCTGCAAAGAAAAGTAGTTGTACGTATTTATGAAATTATTCAAGTAATCGCACGTCACGATTTGGATGACTTACTTTGACGATTAATTTGGGCGAAAGTTAATGTTGAAAGCTAACAATATTATATTTAGCTTCATTTTCACTGAAATGATACACTGGTTATATGCTCGTAAATATTTTCCTAAGATAAAAAACATGAAAGCCTGAGTGTTATTGAGTGTGTTTGTATTAACGCCCAAGTTTCTAACACAGTAAATAAAATTACCGTATTCTATGATACTGAAATAAGTAACTAGTACGTAGGAGCGTAAAGTCGGCCTAAAATGGGACTTATAAAATCTTGGGAGATGTTGACTGTATTCAGATTAACGCCCATGTTTCTGATGTAATAAATAAAATCATTGTTTTCTTTAGTACTGAAATAAGATATTGGCACACATGCTCGTAAATACCTGCTAAAGTTAGGCAGTATAAAACCTTGGGAGATGTTGAGCAGGTTTAAATTAACGCCTAAGTTTCTGACGCAGTAAAAACTATTAGTGTATTCTATATCTTAATATACTATATTTAATCATCTGGCTATGGCGATTGATTGGATTCGTTTCTATCCCGTACAGTCATTTACAATGGAAAGCTAGTTTTGTATACTACTAAAAACTGATTAGTTTGACATATAAATAATTTCGAATGCTAATAGGAATCAACTGCATTTGGAATGAGTTGATTATTAGCGATTAGACTTTATTCTTTCCATACTTTCTCACATAATATAAGCAATAGATCGATTGACAGATCATCTACTAGTTCTTATTTTGATATTATTTATTAAATTGCTAAACCCTCAAATCAGTTGAGGTAACATGGCAGCAAATAAAGTAATTACTATAGGATATAATGAATCAATTAAATCCTTATGTTCAAAATATGCAGAAAACTCTTGTCAAATAATCATTTTTCTTCTCCTTAAGATATCAGTAACTCAAATGTTCACTTAAAATTTATCTCTCGTATCAACTGAGTAATGATATCTTATTTATTACCTGGTGTTTATCTCTCTTAGGTCATAATTAATTACTCTACCACCAGCACGATATTTTCTGTACTCTATATATAAAATTGGGCTCTAATTAATTAATTAGTTTTACAAACCTAATTACATTCCATTTAACATTCGTGTTGCCAACTATATCAAAATATATAAGAAGAACGAAGTAAAATAATTACTACTATAAGATAAATACAATTAGGTTACTCAAATTAGAGTGAGAGGATGTACAAAAAGAATTCCAGATGAAAGTCTAATTTTACTGATCAAAGTATTTAGGATGCAAGTGATATTTTCCTTTATTATTCCTATTATCTTACATAATTGCAGTAATTAGCATTTCGGAGCAATTGATTTAATATTTACGAAATACTCAACAAATAATTCTGATCTTGCGCCTCATATATCTACATACTATACGATGTTTCTATACAACTATTTTAATGGAAATTATAATAACACTATTTCTTTTAATGCAAAGTTTTATGTAAAGATTACAAAATGTCTATATAAAGTCACAAAATAGCTAACACATAGCAGCACATTTATTAAATGAAATTTCTTGTTCATTTCGGATGCCTTATAATTACGATTCGAAAAGATATACATTTACATTTCCCAATTTCGACATAAAGCTTTTCACTAATATGAATTGGTAACAGCTACATGGATACGAATGAACAGTTCAATGTTTTCTAATTTCAGAAATAGCCTGATAGCATTTTGAACACCTTCTAGAAACAATACAGTCGGTAGTTACCTATCATTGTCATTTTTGCAAAATATCTTAAATACATCAGCAACTGCATTCTGTTAATATGAGGCAATAGCTTTAAAGTTATATAAATATCAAGAATAGGCGTAATTGATAAGTACAATTTGATTGAATTGTTCATTAATCAGAATACTGTGCCGGTTTCTTAAAGTTGTGCTACTGTTTCAAAAATAGTAAAACTCAACAGATTATGGAATAACTTGAAGCCTGCTAGTTTCTGGTCATTTAATTATTCAAATAATGTATACGGGAGTTACTATATTCTCGATTGTATTTAGATTGATTCTCCTTAGTTATAGATCGTTTTTGATGAGTTTTGACATATATACGTGCATATAAGAACGTAAGTGTACCCAAACATAGGACTACTCATTTGTCGTCGTAAAAAGACACTTTCTAGTTACAAATCAAGAAATAAGCCAATAAGTGCTCTGCCTTGCATTTTATATTTCATTGTTCAAGTAATTTCAGCATAACAACAGAATCAAAAAACTACTTATTAAACCACTTATTGCCATCTGAAATTATTTTTTCGGGGCATTCGATCGCATTAAAGATCTGTCGTTGAGCAAAATATCTTTCTCATGTAGCAAAGACAATTATATTATATATTATATATTATCCAAGTTTTTACCATAGAGTATTTGCATTTGGTCGGGCTAGTCAAGGTAATAGTCTCTTTCTCAAATTTATTAAATATAGACCTTAACTGGAATAGACTGATTACGACAGAACTATTTTTATTTCTTTATCTTTCTTTCATTCATGAAAAGTAAGTACATCAAATATATTGATGCAAGTAAATAATTTGATAATCAACTAGTTTGCCAATTAAATTGAATTCGCTTTGGAGGTCACAATTAAATCATGGCTTTAATTTATACGCAGAATAAGAGCAACAAATATCAATTATTTTTGATGCATTACAAATTATCATAGTTTTTCTCCAGGCGGTAGGAAGTGTTCTATAGGATATTATATAACTCGACTGATTCATATTTCGAAAAGATTTCCGGAAGAATATATAGTTAAGCAAAGGATTCCAATAGTTCCAGGAATTTTCAGTAAAACTTTCTGGTTAATATAATATTAGAAAACTCATTTTATAACTCTAAATTGGAGATAATTCTACGTCAGTATTGGATCAGCCTGTAAATTGGTTGCCTTAATTTGAAGCCATTTTGTTAGTAAATGAAGATTTCTTTCTAAAGCGTAACTCTGAGTAGATTAATTACCAACTATCAATAAGTTAATTAATTTACGTTCTTGACTCTATCACATGAAATATAATAAATAAATTAATTAATTAAGATCATAATTAAAAGTTTTTATTTTTGAAATATTCATTATAAGATTGGATTAAATAATGTTAAATCTGAATTATTTATGATCTTATTACAACAGCATCGAAGCAAGTTGAAGAGCTCTCCCATCAAACGTATTTATCAGAAAATCCTAAGTCCTTTTGGAATTACTCCAATAAGAATATTACTTTCAATTTACCATTCAGTAACGGTTAGTATTAGTCCACAAAAAAACCAGGCAGTATAATAATATCAGCTTTAGTTAATTGTTCATAAGTTTAATATGCATATCTTTCAGCAGAGATGCATGAGATAAGATAAGTTAATTTGCTGAATAACAACAGAAACGTTTTAAGTAATGATATATCGTAACTATTTAAGTACATAGTAATTTATGGAGTGAGATAAAATTTTTAATTAGACATGGTAAAGAGTTAAAATTAATGGTAGCTTATTCTACTGTAACCTCTTTGTCATCAAGCAATTGATATAAAGTATTACACTTGAAGAATCCATTAGATAACTTATTTATGTAGCAGTAGAAAAGGATTTATTAAGCAAAGATATAAAATAAGGTAACTAATCAATTCAGGATACAGCTAGTAAAACAGCATAAAATTTCTTGATCAAATCGCTTACAGAAACTGGGCTTAAAAATTTAAATTGCCCCTTATTAATATTTTGCTAATCTGCCATTAAATGATAAAACACGAGGTTTTGAGCTTCAATAGTTTATAATGTACCGTATACATTGTCTAGATAAAATCGTACAAAAAATGGGCTAAAAGATTGAATAGCTGCTTAGTAATATTCAGTTCATCTATTTTCAAATAATAAAATGCCAGACTTTGAACTTCGATAATTTATGATATACTGTATAAACTTTCTTATAAACTAGCTGCGGAAAATTAGGTAAAAGAATTGAATAGTTGCTCTTTAATTAGTAGTTAGTTATCCTGCCATTAAATTATGAAAACTCAGGTTTTGAACTCCAATAGTTTATATAATTCATATTATGCATTATGCTTTTATCCAGTAAGGCTAAAATGTTATTGAAGTATGATATACATGAATAAATCTTGGTTTATATTCACTGCAATTCGTGGAGAAGATTAAGCATTCTCAAAGGAAATAATTTTGAAAGCTGACCTAATGCTTCCTTCCTTATTGACATTTACCTTATTGTTGGCCTGAAAATGATACTATAGGAAAATAAGTGATATAATAACAATCTTTTTATAATGCTATTTCTTAGTTAATTTATCGGACGGCAGTTTGCGCCTCGTCGGTGGAAGAACTCCTTATGAAGGACGTATTGAAATTTATTACAAAGGAACGTGGGGAACAATCTGTGGTAAAGGCTTTGGCCAAAATGAAGCGGACGTAGTTTGTCGACAACTTGGATATGAGAAAGCAGATTTTTGCTGTTCAGATTATTCTATCGGGCAAGGAATAATTTGGCTATATTGGATCGCTTGTCCTACTGGTCGTGAAAGCCATATTTTGGAATGCAATCACAGTAACTGGGGTCACAATTTCTATTGCACCTGTCCACATACAGAGGACATCGGAGTTACATGTATAGGTAACATGTTTTAATTAATGATTACTGTTTGCTACTACTACTAGTCGTATTACATTTCTTATTATTCCAGAGATTTCTTAAACGAAATTCTATATCTTTCTTAGATACGCAGTTTGTAAGAGTATTTGTTTATCGATCTGTAAATAAGTAACATAAAAATTCATTTTCCGGAAAATATAAATACTTAAGTGAAATGTTCTTATTAATATGCTCTCTAGCTCGCTAAAACTAAGCCTGGATTAATTTAATTTAATACGGTAACTTATATCATCATCATAGTGCAATATAGAAGAAATCAAAAGTTAATATTTTTTTAAGATCAAATTTAATGATCGTAACAATTCACGCCAATAACGCATTTGGTTTCAATTAAATGTATAAAGTTTTAATAAATAATTTGTTAATCCTGAACTGATCAATACGGTGATTAAAGTATATAAAGCATTAGAAATGCAAAAATATAATAAAGTATCCTCATATTTCGATTAAATTGACGTAGTTAGCTTCTTAAATTAGCTCTAATTTTAAAGAAATGAAAAACTTATTATTCTCTAGATTCTATAGATTTCAACCAATACATACATAAATAAAGTTAGCCTGCTAAAGTGTTGCAAATTTTATTTTCAATAGCTAATAACTTAAAAAGATATTATTCGGCATTTGATATACTATTTGACAATCGTCATACTTTTAATATATAGTTAGGCACTTTAGAAATATCCCAAATTATAGTCTAGTCATTAAACTTGTGGTAATAACAGTCAAAGAGTTGTCAACAATTAAACTAACTGCAGTGGTGCCGTAGATTTTATAGATAAAGCAAATCGTTTCATTTATGGACTCAAGTAACTATGTTTCCTCCGTCATGTCAAAATTACTAACATCTGAAATCTATTCTAATTTTAGGATATGATTACTGCGCTTCTAATCCTTGCGGTATTAATGCTACTTGCTATAATAAAGCCAATGATTATATATGTCGCTGTAAGGACGGTGGATTCAAAAAGAATTGCTCCGAAGGTACTATACTATCCAAATTAGTGTATAGCAGCCTTAAATTACCTAAATTTAACACAGTAAATTAATAGTTATCGTTAATACTTTATCATATTAATATTTCCATATCCGAGGTTATAAAATCATAGAGTGAGACTTTTATCGTCAAGTTTACCTATCTGTTTATAAATTAATATCAGAAGATGGTCGTTCTTTGATGAATCTAGCTTGTTTAGTTGTTATGCCCAAAATTTCTTTGCTAAGTGTAAATTTTGCTTTCAAAAATAGAGTTGTCATTAAATATTTTTTACCAATACGCTAAATATATTATTTTTTAAGCTTATAAGATAATTGAGATTCAAGAAATCAGATTAGGGAGCATCATGGGCAACAAATTTGATAAAGTTATTTAGTAGTTATTTAGTAGTTATTTAATAATTATGGAGACTTGTTTATAACAGTTTTCCAACCACCAATGCACGTATTAGAGCAATATAGCAGTGGATGCACGGATAGATTAAATAAAATTACTGAATATATTTGGGTTATAGAAATAATCATGAGTGTAATCGTGAATCTGTCATTCCGTTTACCATCCATTAGTTATTATTCCGGGAGCTGTCCGAATCGTGGAGAGTTTAGATAGGATATTTGGAACCGTTCAAATTTATTCCGGAACATCGTGGTCAAAAATTTGCTGGAGCTCGGTATATCGTTTAAACGACGCAGCAAAACACCAAATTCAGCAAGCTATAGCTAAATCTGTGGGACAGAAAATCTGTGAAATAGGAATACGCTACGACGATCTTCGACCAAGTATTGAACCATACGTCAATATTCCTTACATATGTATAGCTGATGGAGACCTTGATATTTTGGGTAATTGTTTACCTTGGCAAGAAGGAATATTGACTTCGTATTGTGCCACCCGTAACTCTATTTATGCTGTCTGTTCGGGTAAGATAGAGTAAAGAGGACTAACTGATTGACCATAATAAGCTTACTTACATTGTAGCGATCAAAGTATACTTGGCTAATCTAGATTCAAGTAGTAATAATAGACTATTTCTAGTTCAAAAATCAAAGCCTTTTGAAGCAGTCTCGCTTATCTTTTTCTAGAACTTAAGAGATTTTACAAGATTAATGTTTCTGATATTTTAAATAGATTTTCTATCAGTAACTATAACCATAGTACTGCTTTTAAGCATCCTTCTCGTGCTTATGGCGATTGTAATAGATGTTCTTTAATAGACTTACAAAACTTTTATAATGTAGACACAGCTTGTCTGTCTAATCCTTGCGTTAATGGACATTGCACCAATGCTAACGTAAATGATACAGCCTACGTATGTAAATGCGCAGTTGGCTATACTGGTCGAAATTGTGATATAGGTAATTTCTTGACTTTACTACGCTTTAAAATCAGGCATGATTGACAGTACAGGAAAATTTGTCTTGCGAGTAGCCGAATAGATCGGTATAGTTGCTAATTATTTAAAAGAGCTTGAATAGTTTGATCTGTGATTTAAAATCCGTTTGAAATACTTTGGTTTAAATTGGAGTAGAAATTGACCACTGCAAAAGATATCAAAATTTGTGCGACAATAATGCAACTTGCATTGAAATTGGATCGAGTTTTCGATGTGCTTGCCCTCCAGGTTACGATGGTTCACACTGTCAATATGGTGAGATGCAAGAAACATTATGTAAAACGAAACTTTACATATTGAGATGGAATATTCTACTTTTATATTTCTCATAACGAATTTCTAGTCGATTACTTGTAGTATAGCCATCTTTTAATACTTAGCTGTAAATAGCAGAGGAGAATAAATTAGACCTAAGTTAATCCTCTATGTATTGATATTAACCTTACGGAATAATTTATGCTATTTAATTAAAAATTTTAGGTCCATATGCGGACGGGAGTATAAGGCTTATTAAGTTGAAATCGGGCGGTTATCAAAGCAGTGAAACATTTAGCCATGTAGCAACATCTCGTGGATATCCAGTTATCTACTTTAAAAGGCAATGGTTTTCCATATGCTACGATAACTTTCGCATCACTGAAGCGATAGTGGCTTGTAAACAATTAGGTTACGATACTGCACTGAATTATGGCTATCAAGGGGAAGATCCTGTTTATAAGACATCGTTATGGTATGATCCTGTTGCTTTACAACGTATTCATTGCAATGGCAATGAAAGCCAGCTGTTGGAATGTGGAGATGTCAAATGGGATTTTTGTTTCAGAAACCAGATAACTGAACTCAATTGCGGATGTAAGCTGCTAGTAGATTTACAACCTATTTTATAAAACGCCTAAATTTCCATTTCTTACTATCAACTATGTTTATTTGACAACTTAGCCTGCCCTCCAAATTGCACATGTCGAGAAAATCTCATTATTTGTGTGGGCAAAGAAATTACAGAGATTCCAGAAACTGCTGGCCTGACTTATGATTATTGCCATATATTGTATGTGCGGCATTAGCTTATGAATATGTGATAATAAAGCTATCCTAAAATAAGGATATGATAATAAAGCTACCTTAAATAAAACAAGGATAGGATACTATAGCTATCCTAAACTAAATAAGGAAAAGTCCATCGGCGCTGTATATCTCAGTAGTAGCTTAAAATGTCTTGTATTTTATTCAATAAAGTATTTCAATAATAGCCATTATCTTGCTGGGTAAACAAGAATATCTTAATTTATAAATAACCATCTTGTGTGACTAATTAATTAATCCAAGTTTTCCCTTTAGGAAGCTTCGTTTTACTAGCGTCAAGGTGATTAAAGACGATTCTTTTCGAGCTTACCCTTATGTGAATAAACTGTAAGCCAACAAATTTGTTCCTTTCACCGTGAAATTCAACTTTTTAAGTACTTGCAGAATTAATCACTACAGGTTTCTAGATCACAATGACATCGTAAGTATATCGAATAACGCCTTTCAGCGCTTGCCTGTTGTCGAGTACATGTAAGTATGTCGTTATGGTACTTGAATCTTTGTTAGAGTAGTAAATTTCATATTTAACAGTTGCTCGCTGTAGTGACTTCTGCTAATTACAGTAGTTTAGGGCTAATAACCCGTACACTACACAGGCAAAAGGATGTAACACACTCGTAATGTTGATAGTATCCTTAATTATAAGAGAATGCTAACTATCACGTTGAGAAATCACAATAACTCTATAGTAAAAGGCCGTAAAAACAATAATAAATTTTGAAGACAATTTTATCAAGATATCAACGTTGGCTAAAGGAATCGTTAATTAAATATTATATACAGTATATAAATTTTTAAGCGAGAAAGCAAACTGACATGAAGGGAGATAAAAAAACTCCATAAATAAGAGCTGCAAATGCGATAAAAATTTTAATGAAACTTTATCAAGAATTCGCCTGCCGCCAAAAGTATATGCTTCCGTAAAATTTAAACTGATTGTCATGCAAATGATTTAATATCAAATTATTTTCATTCGTTTATGATATATAAATTACTAATAAATACGCATTAATACACGAATTGAGATACTTAATATTCTTGCAAGACGAGCAGAGAGGAAGTTTTCAAATTCGAGTTATATTAGCTCCGCTTATGATGCAAACTTTTTTTAATTTTATTAGAACTTTAGCTTTCAACCCTTTAACCAATACATCTGGTCGAGCATTCTCCAATTTGCCTAAGCTTTCCATTCTGTAAGTAATTACGATAAAGTCAGATTACGGTAGTTTAGGCTTTCAATAATTGCCTTGACTCTTCAATTTTAGCTAGAGAACAATTAAAGCTAACGAAAAGTTTTATGCGACTCTGAGTTTCTAACTCGGTTTTGATATAATTTACACAGTGAACTTGCCAATACTAGCTTTTCCATCCAAGAAACAATCTTTAATGTGCCAGCTTTAGCTAGATTGTGAGTTTACTAATTGCAATTATAGTTTTACCTTGGTTCTACATGATTAAAATATTTTTCTTCAATCTGTTTGTCATTATATAGACATTTGCAAATG